GTGTTTATTCATCTCTAAAATTTCAAAAATTTTCATATGATAAATTTTCTTAGGTATTAAGTTTACTTTTAGTTAATTGTCCCATAATGTCAAGACCATGTACTCTGTCCGTTATTTAGGGACTCTGGCTTTACAGACATGGTAATGATGTGTTGTTTTTTTTTTTTTTTTTTTTTTTTTTTTTGAGAGAGAGAGAGAGAGAGAGAGAGAGAGCAAGAGTGCAAGCAGGGAAGGGGCAGAGGAAGAAGGACAGAGAATCCTAAGCGAGCTCCACACCCAGTGCAGAGCCTGACATCATGACCTGAGCCAATATCAAGAGTCAGCAGCTTAATTGACTGAGCCACCCAGACGCCCCAGCATGCATTTTAATTATAGGCATATCATTATCCTTTGCTGATTTGAACACAAGAGTTTTGTTTTTTCTTTTAGCTTTAGATTTTTCCACTCCATTCATTATAGCTCCATCTAATTTTGCTGAGTGTTTTTTTTTTTTCTTTTACCTTTTTCTACAAGACAGAAATCACATTAAAAGCTTTTGACTTACCACTGTCATCTGTAGGAGAAATACTCTGTATCCCTTGGACAGTCCAGTGCCTGTTTTGATTTGGCTTTATCTTCAGTTTTTTCTCTGTAACTACCATAATAAGAATTCAGAGTTGGGGTTCTTCGCAGGTTTTTTTTCTTTGGTAAGCATAAGAGTACAGAAATGTATAAATATCCATCTAATTACTTAATGGAGTTCACTCTTAATTTTATTTGAGCTAATAAATATTAAGGGCTTTTGATAATTACCAGTTAAACTTGAGTATTAAATTCCTCCTTAGGATTTTTAAGTGGCTAGACATATTTGAACCTGCGTAGATTGATAGAGACTTAAGAAATGTCCGCAATTTTTCAAAAATCATGCTTATTTCCAAATACTTTAGGTTTATTGGTTTTTCTTCACATTAAATTCATTGTGTTTTTTTGATTATAGGTATTTGGAATGGAACTCGTTGGCTGCTTATTTTCTAGAAACTGGAATGTAAGAGAGATGGCTCTCAGGCGTCTTTCCCATGATGTTAGTGGGGCTCTGCTGTTGGCAAATGGGGAGAGCACTGGAAATTCTGGGAGCAATGGTAGAAGCAGCCCGAGTGCTGGAGCCACCAGTGGGTCTTCCCAGACCAGTATCTCAGGAGACGTGGTAGAGGCATGCTGCAACGTTTTATCAATGGTCTGTGCTGACCCTGTCTACAAAGTGTACGTTGCTGCTTTAGTAAGTAGCTTTATTATATAACCAAAGCATTATGGTTGTGGTGTTTTTTTTTTTTAAGCTTGTAGGTATCATCCTTAAAATCCAGTAAAACTACTTTACCTGATTTAATTTTGGAAAATTCAAGTTTTTATTCCATAATCCCAGGAATTATAATTTTCCATTTAATCTCTTCATTTGGATTTTACTTGTTTTAATCTATTCAAGTTTTATTATATACTGTTGCCTTTTCTCCCCTAAGACAACAGTGTCTTGCTCTTCATATCTTTACATTTTCCTTACACCTTACATATGATCAGATTAAAAATGTTCTTAATGGATAGCAAGTGATCAAAGCTACTTATTTTGCCATTAGTTACACATTAAGGAGAACTGATTGTTAATATTGTTGTATATAAATTCAGGATTCTTTTCACAGAGGAAGGTTCTAGGACACAGATGATTCAGTTTTTCTAATTTAACCTATTGGAAGTTGTGTTTCATAAATGAGATGGAATAAAGAGCTTGTTTCATTTGTAATTTTGGAGGCTATTTGACTTTTTTCATTCTGAGTATACATAACTTCAGAACAGTTTCTCAACCTCAGCACTATTGACACTGAGCCAGATAATTATTTGTTGGGGGCAAGGGTGCTGTCTTGTGCACTGTAGGAGGTGTAGGAGCAACCCTGACCTCTCTCTACTGTATACCCATAACACACCTCTCTTACCCCTCCTCCCCATCATGACAACCCAGAATGTCTCCAGGCATTGCTGAGTGTCCCCGGAGGGATGCAGTTGCCCCAATTCACAACCACTGCTTCAGAATAATTCTTACCTAGCCAGTTTCAAAACTCATTAATCCCTCTGCTTCCACTTTTTTTCTAATCATCCTATAACACCTATGCCTAATAAATCTTCTTTTTGAGAGGTAGTATAGCCTGATGGTTATGAACATGAATTTGAAGTCAGAACTGAGTGGCCTCATAATTTATCATCCTAACTAGGATACTTAAATAATCTGCTAGTTCAACTGGGACTAGCATAGGTAATCTGGACATAAGGTTAAGATTATAGAGACTTTGATTCAAATTCTGGTTCTTCCACTGGCTAGCATTGTGATTTTAGGACTCTTTAATTTCAGGTTTCTCACCTATAAGGAAAATACTACCTCTTAGGTTTGAAATGAGATTATGTAAAACCTCTAATCATAACGTCTGGAACACTGAACATTGACTATACAGTAGCCATCAGTATTCCTTAAAGACCACTTTGATTACTCCCCAGCTTAGAAACCTTTAGGTGTTTCTGATGCTTTAGCGGCATTTCCAAAAGTATATTCCATGGAAGTTTGGCAGGATTATGAAAACTTCCCTTGAAGACAGAGTTCTTTGTTCAGTTAAAATTGATAAGCAATGAATTACACAAATTAAATGAGTTGTTCACTGAAGGCTTCTAGGAACATTCAGTAAGCTAATGTACATTGGAAATCTATGAGATCAAGTAGGATGCATTATTTCCCAAATATTTCTTACCTTGGTCTATTTTTTCAAGTACAATATTCAGGGACCAGCATAACAATGTTCTTGGCCCAACTTTTAACCTCCTTCTTCTTACTGTTATCTAACACAAACCTTCAGACATACTTGACTATTCAGTAGACTGCCTGTCTGGTTGTTGCTTAAGTTCAGATGGTTTCCCATCTAGTTAGCTGTAGAGGGAAGGGACTCAGAATCATACTATATTCTGATTCCTCTATAATTACTTAGTACACCAAGCATAAGGCAGGCAGAAGTGGTTCCTTCCCTTAAAGCTCTCCCTCCCCTCTGTCCTCCTTTTTCTTCCTCTCCCTCGCCATACCTAATTCTTTGCTGAACCTTTGGAGAGTTAATTTGTAGGCATCATGACATGGTATTTCACCTCATATACTTTAGCATATATCTCTTGAGAACAAATACATTCTTCTGTTCCAGCAATGTTCTTTAGAGCTAAGCTGCAGACTTTCTTCAGTTTTCACCAGTTTTTCCATAATGTCTTTTTTTCTGTTTTAGGATCCAGTCCAGAAACTCACATAGCATTTAGTTATCATGCTCCCTTAATCTCTTCCCATCTGTGACAGCTCCTCAGTCTTTCCTTGTCTCGCATAGATCTTGACACTTTGAAAGTGTGCTGACCACTTATTTTGAACAATGTCCCTCATTTTGGGTTTATGATATTTCCTCATGATTAGGTTCAGTTTATGCATTTTTTACAAGAATATCAGAGATTTATGTGCATTCTTAGTGCACTGTATCAAGGGGTACATGATGTGCCAAGTACTGGTGATGCTGTCCTTCATCACTTGGTAAAGGTGATGTTTATGGGGTTCCTTGCTATAAAATGACAATAAATGTTTTGAGGCAGATACTTTGAGACTATGCAAAGACCCTGTTTCTCTTCAGAATTTCGCTCACTGGTTTAGCATTTTTCAGTGGATCTTGTCTACAGCAGTTATTATTGTGGTATTCTAATGGTGACTTCCTATTTCTCTCATTCCTTCTACATTAATAGGAATTCTTCTATAAAGAGGAGCTGTGTCTTCTGCCTCATTGTGTATTTATTCAGTTTTTAAATTTTATCAATATAGGCTGATGAGTATTTTAGTCTGTGGGTTATAATGCAATCCTGTGATCATTTAAATTGTTGCTCATATTATTCCAGTTTTGGGCACTGGAAACTCTTTTCATTTTGAAATACATACTTTAAAAATTATAGAAACAGTTCAGAGCATTTCTTTCTACCCCATATATTTATTCAGTTTTTTTATTTGTATCAATATGGATTCATGGATTATTTTATTTGTGGGTTATAAATCTATTCCTATCATTATGTATTGTTTATTAAATTGTCTCAGATTATACCAGAGTCTCTGATGCTTTTCAAATGCAGTTAAACTGACCTTCAGGTTTCCCCTCCCCCCCCCAGAAAACATTGAGAGCCATGCTGGTATATACTCCTTGCCATAGTTTGGCAGAAAGAATCAAACTGCAGAGACTTCTCCGGCCAGTTGTAGACACCATCCTAGTCAAGTGTGCAGATGCCAATAGGTAAGGCCCTATTGATGAACTGCTTCAAACCCTCTTATATTAAAAGCCTAGCAACAAGCCTCATACCTGGTGAGTATTTGATACATATTTATTAAATGAGGCTTTGAATATTGTTTTCTAAAATGAGATTTGAAATTAAAATGTAACACTGAAAGATTTTCAGCACTAGGGAGAAGGGCTAATGGCAAGTAAAAACCAGGCTAACAAACTGCATGGATAACCACATTATTGTATTGTGATTTTCTTTTATTATAAAGCAATGTCCTTAATCTCAAGGCCAGTTGGTAAGAATAGTAGCTGATACAAATATAATCTCATTTTAGAGAATGAGTTACACAGGATAGGAACCTATAAAATCATTATACCTGGTTGAAAAAACCCAACCATTCCATATTTGCTGTGTAATGGAATTTTACTCTGACAGTTTATGTTTAAAACAACAATAACAAATTGCATATATCGTTGCAATATCCATAAAAACTGACAAGGAGCAAGAGTAATGCTAACTGGGAGAGTAGAGATAGTAAGGTAGAGAAGTGAGGCATGATCATAGTAAAATAAGCTCAGGCTGTGCCTTTATGAGACCACTGGTTCACTTTTATTTTCCCGTTCTGTGGAGTGGGAGGAAAAGATGACTTTTCACTTAGTGAGCATAGCTGGGAACAGTTGTTTGGTGGTTCTCACCTCTTCACATCCAGCCGGTCTCAGGTGGTAAGGAAGCATGGACTCACCCTTGTGCCTCTGCCATTACACCCATTTGGAGCTCTCTCAGCCCAGCCTTTGTCTTCCTCCTTCCATCACATGCTGTCTTTTGTAACTGGTCTCAAAAATTAGGTGCTTAGATTTGATTTGCTTCACATTTCATTACGTCTTTTTCCTCCATTGTTTTCTCTACCCAAGCCTATGGATTGAAAGTATTAGAGATTTTCTTATTAAGGAGAGTCCTATAATATCTCAAGAACATTAACAGGCAATAACAAATCATTAGCAAAATGCACAGAAAAATCACATGGTTTTTCAGTATGAGAATCATTATTTTTCTGAAAACTTCATTGCTTTTGTGGCAGTTGTGTGCTTTCCAGAATTCTAAAGTTAGATTGTTTACCTGGTTGCTTCGATGATGGACATTATAAAAAATACAGTAGAGGTTTTAAGATACTTGGAACTCACTCTGGCTATATAAGAGAACATGAAGGTTTTGGAGGGGAAGGTTTTGTTTTTAATTCAAGAGATTCTTAGTGAAAATTCAGAAATCAAAGTGAGTCTTCTGTCTTTTTTAATGAAGTAATCAAAATATGCCTTTTATCTGGTTTGCTATTTAAATCAACATTTGCTAAGAGCCACTAGTAAAGATTCTGTGCTTAACATAGATGAGGTAAAGCTTATGAAATTAGACCTTAAATAATGAATATTATCTGTAGCAACACTGTACATTGATTTTAGTGGTGGAAAAGCAAACACTTGTGAAACTATTTTTTGCCACCTTTTCATATGGCATTACATTACTATTGTCCTTTTGTCCTTTTAATGTGTATTTTATCCAGGATAAGATCCAAGTCTGATGTTGCTTCTTTCATTTTTAGTCGCACAAGTCAGCTGTCTATATCAACCCTGTTGGAATTGTGCAAAGGCCAAGCAGGAGAGTTGGCAGTTGGCAGAGAAATACTTAAAGCTGGTAAAATCTTTTTACTTAAAATAAATGTAGCAGGTCTTATCATAATCCCATAATCTCTGATAGGGCAGCTGTATACAGGATTTTGAAGTAATTGTGTAAATTGATTCAGTCAGCTAACATTAGAAATAGGAATTAATCTAAACAGTACTTAAAATGAATATAATTAGAGTATTTTTCTTGGTCTTTATGCTATTTTGATCATGTTTTAGATTTTAGTATCACTATTTTTCAGTTATTTGTTATTTCCTTTTTGTAGGATCCATTGGTATTGGTGGTGTTGATTATGTCTTAAGTTGTATTCTTGGAAACCAAACTGAATCAAACAACTGGCAAGAACTTCTGGGCCGCCTTTGTCTTATGGACAGACTGCTGTTGGAATTTCCTGCTGAATTTTACCCTCATATCGCCAGTACTGATGTTTCACAAGCTGAGCCTGTTGAAGTCAGGTAATTTTTCTTCTGCAAATATATTACTTTGTTCTTCCCTCCTACCCCATCCCTACCTTACCCCGCCCCCCCCCCCCCAAAGAAGGACACATTTTAGAAAGACTTAGAAACTACAGAACATATACAGGTTACTACTAATACCTTAATATTTGATTGACATAAAAACCTCAAGCCTGGGCTATTTAATTGAAAATATATAGATCCTTTGTACTGAAAGGACTGTTTTTAAATGTATAAGCTTCTTTTTATTTGTGTATATTTTGCAGTAGTTTTAACTTGTAATTGAATGTGTTTTTTTCTTTCAGGTATAAAAAGCTGCTGTCCCTTTTAACCTTTGCTTTGCAGTCCATTGATAATTCCCACTCAATGGTTGGCAAACTCTCCCGAAGGATCTATTTGAGTTCTGCAAGAATGGTTACTGCAGTACCCCATGTATTTTCAAAACTGTTAGAAATGCTGAATGTTTCCAGTTCCACTCATTTTACCAGGATGCGTCGTCGTCTGATGGCTATTGCAGATGAGGTGGAAATCGCTGAGGCCATCCAGCTGGGCGTAGAAGACAATTTGGATGGTCAACATGACAGCTTTTTGCAGGCATCTGTCTCTAACAGCTTTCCTGAAACCACAGAGAACAGCTCCCTTGAGCACACAGACCATTTAGAGAAAACTGGAAAAGTACTGTGTGCCACAAAACTGAGTGCCAATTCAGAAGACATTACTGACAGACTGGGTAGCATTTCAGTAGGACTTCCTAGTTCAACAACAATGGAGCAACCAAAGCCAGTGGTTCAAACTAAAGGCAGACCCCACAGTCAGTGTTTGAACTCCTCTCCTTTATCTCATCATTCCCAATTAGTGTTTCCATCCTTGTCAACTCCTTCTTCATCTGCCCCATCTGCACCAGTTGGTACTGGAACAGATATCGCTAAGCATAGACCTCAGGGATTCATTCCCTGCAAAATACCTTCTGCATCTCCTCAAACACAGCGTAAGTTTTCTCTACAGTTCCAGAGAAACTGTTCCGAAAACAGAGACTCAGATAAACTTTCCCCCATCTTTACTCAGTCAAGACCCCTGCCTTCTAGTACTATACACAGGCCAAAGCCGTCTCGACCTACCCCAGGTAATACAAGTAAACAAGGAGATGTCTCAAAGAATAGCATGACACTTGATCTGAAAAGTAGTACTTCCAGATGTGATGACAGCTTTGGTGTCAGCAGCAATAGCAGTAGTGCTGTTATACCCAGTGATGAGACAGTATTCACCCCAGTAGAAGAGAAATGCAGATTAGACGTCAATACAGAACTCAATTCCAGCATTGAGGACCTTCTTGAGGCATCTATGCCTTCAAGTGACACAACAGTAACTTTTAAGTCAGAAGTTGCTGTCCTGTCTCCTGAAAAGGATGAAAATGATGATACCTACAAAGATGATGTGAATCATAATCAGAAGTGCAAAGAAAAGATGGAAGCTGAAGAAGAAGAAGCTTTAGCAATTGCCATGGCAATGTCAGCGTCTCAGGATGCCCTCCCCATAGTTCCTCAACTACAGGTTGAAAATGGAGAGGATATCATCATTATTCAACAGGATGTAAGTACAAGTCTTAAAGAGATTAGAGTTTCTTTGTACCGCTAAAATCTAATTCAGAAATGATGTTTTTTACACAAGTTAATTAGAAGCATTAGAAGCAATTTTTCACATAGAATTACACATTGTATATAATATCGTGTCATTGCTTAAACACACACTCCTTGACTATTTCTTTTTTTTTTTTTTTTTTTTCAACGTTTATTTATTTTGGGGACAGAGAGAGACAGAGCATGAACGGGGGAGGGGCAGAGAGAGGGAGACACAGAATCGGAAACAGGCTCCAGGCTCTGAGCCATCAGCCCAGAGCCTGACGCGGGGCTCGAACTCACGGACCGCGAGATCGTGACCTGGCTGAAGTCGGACGCTTAACCGACTGAGCCACCCAGGCGCCCCACTCCTTGACTATTTCAAAGGCATTTCTGGTTTGTTCTATAATGGTGATCACTTCTGCATTTGACATTGGTCACCAACACTGCCCATTCAGAGGTCAACTTTATAGGTAGTTTGGGAACCCAGACTGAACAAGAATAATGTTTTGGGAGGCTAATTTCCTCTTTTAAAAGATCCTTCCTCTTTTAACTTAATAGTAAAAAGATTGCTTTCACTTAATATGTAGACACCCGAAACTCTACCAGGACATACCAAAGCAAAGCAACCTTACAGAGAAGACACTGAATGGCTAAAAGGTCAGCAGATAGGCCTTGGAGCATTTTCTTCTTGTTATCAGGCTCAAGATGTGGGAACTGGAACTTTAATGGCTGTTAAACAGGTAAATATCTGGTGAGCACATAAATGATTTAAATTATAAAAATGAAGCATGAGCAAATAAGAAAAGTAAAGGCTAGGTCCCTTTATGTATATGCTTTTGTTCTTTGATTATCACAAACCTAAATTTCAAAGTAAATACTGCCAAAGCACCAAAAGCATCATGAATACTATTGAAAAGCTGAAGCATGATTATTTTAACAAATTATAGAAACGATCCCTCAAAATACAGTCTTTAAGTGTGACTATGCATGACGATTGTAAGATGCAACATCAAGGTGGGCCTCATAGTGGCTGTTTTTGGTTTTTGGTTGTGCTTTTTATTAACAGAGGTATGGTTTCATACTCCTTGTAGCAATGTTAAATGTTACCAATGTACCATCATCTCGGGGGCTCTGGTAGTTTACTTTTTATGATGAGCATGCTTATCAAGATAAGAAAATAATGAAGTTTTCATTTTTAAATCACATTGGTTCTTCCATGAATTGGCTTTTCTCCTTCTGTCTTCGGTTTGGGAGGATTGGCTATGTCCCATCTTTTTGTCACTTTTCTGATATTTCACTGTTTAAGCCACACCCTGTCTAAAAGTGTTTGAATTGGCTTTTCATGAAGTATCTACATTGCATCCATGAGCATAAATGCCAATTCCTATTATATAAGCTAATATGAATTTGCCCATTTTAGATCAGATTGTCAGTGAAAACTGTAAATAGAAATTCATCAGAATTAAAAACCTTGTAAACGTGGTTACTGAAACAGGTGACATATGTCAGAAATACATCTTCTGAGCAAGAAGAAGTAGTAGAAGCATTAAGAGAAGAGATCAGAATGATGAGCCATTTGAATCATCCCAACATCATTAGGATGTTGGGAGCCACATGTGAGAAGAGCAATTATAATCTCTTCATCGAATGGATGGCAGGTATGTTCATGTTTTAAATTACCAATAGTAGTACATGAATTTAACTTTCTGGTTGACGTTAAATTTAGGAAAAACATTTTGATGAATACATATTTTTTTTTTTTTTTTAACGTTTATTTATTTTTGAGACAGAGAGAGACAGAGCATGAACGGGGGAGGGTCAGAGAGAGAGGGAGACACGGAATCTGAAACAGGCTCCAGGCTCTGAGCGGTCAGCACAGAGCCCAACGCGGGGCTCGAACTCACGGAGTGTGAGATCGTGACCTGAGCCGAAGTCGGCCGCTTAACCGACTGAGCCACCCAGGCGCCCCGATGAATACATATTTTTATTAAATAGCTTGAATTTCTAAAAGCAAATCACCCTAATAATATAAACTATAAATAACTTGTCTTTAAATACAAATAAAATATTGTCTCTAACTTTTAAACTTTTTCAGTGGTTTATTTTTGAGAGAGACAGAGACAGAGTGTGAGCAGGGGAGGGGCAGAGAAAGAGGCAAACACAGAATCCGAAGCAGGCTTCAGGCTCTGAGCTGTCAGCACAGAGCCCAACACGGGGCTGAACCTTACAAACCTCGAGATCATGACCTGAGCGGAAGTCGGACGCTTAACCAACTGAGCCACCCAGGCGCCCCTCTGTGTTTCTTTTTAAATGATTATACAGCATTCTTTTATAAGAATAATTTTTTTAAAACTGCTATGTATAAGACCCATATTTTTCCAGGTGGCTGTCATTAGTTGGACAGATTTGAGATGTTTTAACATGACAATATAAAAGTGAAATTAAGATATAACTCAGTTGGTTAGGCATCCGACTTGGGCTCAGGTCACGATCTCATGGTTCTTGAGTTCAAGCCCCACATTGGGCCCTGTGCTGACAGCTCAGAGCCTTGAGCCTGCTTCAGATGCTGTGTCTCCCTCTCCTCTCTGCCCCTCCCCAGCTCATGCTCTCTCTCAAAAATGAGTGTTAAAAAAAAATAAATAAATAAAAAAGAAAAAAGATACAACTTGGAAAAATTAAGCAATGAAGCATAAAATTGAACCTTATCTATGTGAAAAATGACAAAATATATCATATATACAGTAAAACAAGTAACTTGGGGTGTAATGAATGAATAAGTGGTTTAACTTTTTAGATTTTTTGTGTTTGAAGAGTTTTTATTTTTAATATGTTCTCTGATGTTGGTCATAGCTAGGTTGATGTTTTCAGGTTGACTATTACAAATACTTCTCACTGAGGTTTACTGAGTTTGTGACTTGTACCAGGTCACAACTAGTAGATAATAGAACATGAAGCCTAATGCTCGATCTTCTGGCTCCTCCTATTCTCTTTACCTTCTGCTAAGTAACATGTTAGCACTGTTTATTTAAGTCTTATTATTAAGAAAGGTATTTTGGGGGTGCCTGGGTGGCTCATTTGGTTAAGTGTCTGACTTATGATGTCGCAGGTCATGATGTCCTCAGGTCATGATGTCGCAGTTTGTGAGTTGAGCCCCACCTCGGGCTCTGTGCTGACAGCTCAGAGCCTGGAGCTGCTTCAGATTCTCTATCTCCCTCTCTGCCCCTCCCCTGCTCGCGTACTCTCTCTCAAAAACAAACAAACATTAAAAAAGTTTTTTTAAAGGTATTTTGGGGGTACCTGGATGGCTCAGTTGATTGAGCATTAGATTCTTGATTTTGGCTTATCTCCCGGTCATGAGATCAGGCCCCACATTGGGCTCCACACTGGGGGGTGAAGCCAGCTTAAGAATCTCTCTCCCTCTCCCCCCTAATGCTCTCTCTCAAAAAAAAAAAAAAAAAAAAAAGTGTTTTATGTATCTATCAAAAAGAGAGGTGAATGGTACATTTCAGAAATGGCTCCATGTAAAACTATTAAGTTTTAAAGCTTTCTGAAATCTTGACCTCCCAAAAAACTAGTTCATGAAAGTTTGATGAAAATGTCTAATTGTTAGGAATGTGTTAGTTTTTAAATCAGTTTCACTTCTGATGCAGTGTATAAATATAACATTCCATACATGAATGTGAGTTCATGTGGTGCAAGCTAATGTAACCAAAATGTAATCAATGGTTTTAATTTGGCTTAAATTTATGATAACTATCATTACATGTTTGTCTTAAAGGGGGATCTGTGGCTCATTTGCTCAGTAAATATGGAGCCTTCAAAGAATCAGTAGTTATTAACTATACTGAACAATTACTTCGTGGCCTTTCATATCTCCATGAAAACCAGATCATTCACAGAGATGTCAAAGGTAAGAATTCTTTTCATTACTACCTATTAGCAAGAGGTAGAAATCAAATGTAGTTTTAAAACTCAGACCTTTGTTGATAATTTCTAA